GTTTCTGGTCCAACAAAAAGTCTCATTCATCGTCCTCCGGCGCACTGAAACAGTCGAAATCCTCCTCTTCAGTGTCGGAGTTAAACAAGCTGCGTCACACAGCGGTACTTGTTCAGTTTCTGTGTCGCTGTCCTCCTGGGCTGTCTCTGAAGCTGTAGTGTCCTCTTCACGTAGCAGTCCAGCCTTTCAGAACCCACTGGTGATGGTGGACTCATTCACTCTGCTCCACACTGTTAGGATCCACTGGCAGACATCAGGAAATGTCGCTCTTCGCATTCGGCCAGTTTTTGTGAATGATTTATCCCCGTCAGTCAGCTGCTGGGAAAGCCCTCCCGCTCCAGCATACGTCACTGCATGGGATTCCTTCCCTGGGGAGTGCAATGAGGAAAAAAAAAGTCCGCGGCTCTTCACTCGACGTTTATCCACAAACTGGTCCTGGATTAAGCTCCAAAGTTTTTATCAGTCAGATTCCACCGTGAAAAATGTCTGTTTTATCCCCTTTTATGAGTTTTTGGCCACTGACTATGTTTAAATTGCTGCTTCCTGGTACAACAGTCGGTTCTGGAAGGATCGCATTTTTCTTTTTTCTTCTTCTTTTTTGAAGCGAGTGGTTGAAGCAAATGGAGCATAAGAGCCCCCTGGTGGCTGAAGAAAAAAATCCACGTAAAAGCCGCACCGGACTATAAGCCGCATGGTTCAAAGTTCAGGAAAAAAGTCGCGGCTTATAGTCCGAAAAATACGGTAACTAGGTTAATTGACCCCAGGTCAATATGAGAACTGGGTATAAAAAGAGCCTTTTAGAGACTATATCTCAAAAGCAAAGAGCAGAGGTTAACAAGTCTTCAAATAACTGCAAGCTCGCATGTGCATATCTACGTGTATGAGCGAGAAATTTCACAAGTAGCTTGGCTGGAGGAGGCCGAGCGCTTGTTGCCTCATCACACAACTTCCATAGGAAATGAAAGGAGAGCGAGCGACGTAGCCTCCCGTGTGTCGAGCCCTTAAGTGCTGCCAATGGACCATGTACATGTTTATCTATTGGTCTCATTAATATTCTTTGTTTTCATCAGCTGTCAGCCAGAACACTTGAAGAACTGTATGTCACTGTTCAGAATGAATCTATGTAAGTTAGAGGTTTTAAAACCTGAATTACTGAAATAAATGAACTCTTCTATAATGTTCTAACACTGAGAAGTACCAATACAGCCTGAACTTCAAATAAGCAGAGTGTTTTTGTATTTTAGTAAGTGAAATCAGAACAGCGTGTTAGAGGAGACTCACATTACGAGGTAATGAACACACACAGGCCATGAGCAGACAGACCAACTGAGACCGACTCCACAGCACCCCCTGCTGCTGAAGTGAAGAACAGCTGTTAGACACGCTTCAAATAAGGCAATCACAGAAAACAAAAACAGAACAGAAGTAATAAAGATCTGTTTACTACTGTGAAACGATTGTCACAAGAGAAAAAACTTTTCCTTGGCATGTACACATGCAGACGTTCACACCAGAAAACATACCTTGAGCAGCTGAAGGTCAGAGGGGAAGGAGTTATCAGGCAAAAAGGTGACATCACCTTCCAGGAAGAGAGACACCACCCTTGATGCTGTCTGTCCCGCCATCCTGATGAAAGGAAACCACACCTCTCAAACTTCACTTTCTCAACAGCATTGCACCAACAAATTCAAGACACAAGAGAAAATAATAATAATAATAATTCAGCAAAAACAGTCCAGAAAACAGTATTAGTGTGCACCAAAAAATGATTCACGTCAGAATCGTGATTCTCTTTTACAAAGACTCAGTATTGATTTATAAAGTCCTAAAATCGATTTGTTTCATTGAATCAAAGTGTTTGTGAAACCCTGGTTCCGTACGAGCCTGAAGGAGCGATCCACTTTAATCCAGGGAATAAGATTATGGACCGGTCTGGAAGATGAGGTCAAAAATGCCAGATCTTTGTATTTATTGAAGAGAATGATAAAAACAAGTATTCTGAAGAAATATGGAGAAGCATAAGTGAATTCATGCAAATTGTTGTTTGAGTTGGTGTTTTAAATTTAGTGTTGTGTTTTGTTTTTGTGTGTTTTCAGTTGTTTTGATTTTTGTTGTAATTTACTTTCATTTTGAACATATTTTGGGTAAAAAAAAAAGGGGCAGATATAAGATTTATTCTTCTTCTGCTGCCTTTCATTCTATTTGAATTTATTTTAATTGCATGTTTTTTGTTCTTTGTTGTGTATATAATTGTTACAAATAAAATGAATAACTTTCTAAAAAAATAAAAAATATTCCCACCCCTAAACAATATGATCTGCAGCCAGGGTTCCAACACTTTTACAGACTGCATTTTGTGAGTGCAGGTTTTTCACATCTTGTGAATTTTTACAAAGTAAACAGATTTATACTTAAGTTGTAAAGTAAAAAAAATATATTATATTATACTGTCATTTAGTCAATTTCACACCTCATAATTTCAAATATTGATGTGGGAGTAGCTGAGATTGATAACCCAACACATTATGAGCTCGAGTTAATGGTCTGTTAGCAAAATATCTCATAAACCACTGAATGAGTTCTCATTTAAATCCTTCAGTTGGGTCTTTATAAAGTAGAACTGCAAAGCTTTGGTCTGAATTCCTTTATTTTCTAACTTTAGCAGCTCCTCTTTCAGCCCTTCTCTGCGGTGTGCCTCACTGCAGCTCGTTTTGTTACTGTTCCTTTAAGATGCTTTAAGCCCCGCCCCTTCAGGTTTCCAGACCAGTCCAATCCAGTTCAAAATAGGGGGTTATCGTATTTTTAGCGGAAACATTTTACTTTACAATTTAATTAAAAAAATTCAGTGTAATAGTTCAGAAAACATCACAGAAGACAGAGAAAACTCAACAGGCTGAAAACATTGTTTCTGTCAGTGTCAGGGCAGCTGTGGCTACAATGTAGCTTAGCATCATCAGCGTGTGAATGTGTGTGTGTGTGTGAGTGGGTGAATGTCCATTTACCATTTGACCCTAACAGAATATAACAGGGTTCCCACACCTTGGTCAACATCAAATTCAAAGACATTCAAGGACTTTCCAGTACCAATTTCCTCAAATTAAAGAACCACACCCAACGGCAATTACCTACTGCTACCACAGAATGTTACCAATAAACAGGTTTAATATCATGTTGATTCAATGAAAAACTGAACATAGAAGTTGTTGAGTCAGAAATAATGACGTCAGTTTACTGTAATCCTGAGTTATCCACCGCAACAAGTTTTTTAAAATTTTATAATTTTTTTAAAAAAGATGATGAAAATCAATTGTGTGAATAGAGAATTTCAATCCACAAAAACATTCAAGGACTTTCAAGGACAAGTGTAATTTTTGGCTGTTTTCACAAACTTACCAGGGCCTTGAAATATTTTTTTCTAATTCACAAACTTTCAAAGATTTCAAGGACCCGTGGGAACCCTGATATAAGGATATATTTGCAGCACCAGGAGAGAAGAAATTTAACTTTTCTGCACTCCTAGAACCACCAAATACAACAAAATGTATTTAATGGATAAAAAAAGTGGATTTTGCAGGAAATGTCCCCTTTAATGAAACCTTCAGGTAATAAATATTACATTTAGGGCTGCACAATTTATTAAACTTTTGTTGTCACAATATCAGTGAGTGCAATATCAATATCAGAAAGGACTGTTTGGACTGCAGTCAATCATGTTCCACTCCATGTAGAATCATTCACATTCTGATGTAAATGCAACACTCATTGGCCCTGATGACCACACCAGGTTTAGATGACAGTGATGTCAGGAAGGAAAATGAGGGTTTATCAGAGTTGGTATCATCATCACAATATTACACAATATCTCACTAAGCTTTTCTAACAGTGTGCAGTGGTACTGGTATGGTATTTATGGTATGGTATCAATACAGACCTCTCTTCATTCATGTGCCTGTACGCTGTGGTTCAGTCTCAGTCAAATGTGTCTCCATTTGGTTCTGACTAGGGATGTAAGAAAATATCGATACATAGAAATATTGCGATATTTCATTTCCCGATACTGTATCAATATTCTAAAGCCCTGTATCGATTTTTTATTAAGGTTTAAAATGTTAACCTTCTTGCCAACCATTCATTTTTATGTTGTAGTTCAGCCTCTGACCACTAGTTGGCAGCAGTGAGCCAGCCATTTGGCTCCTCTACCTCTTGAGCGCCAGAGAGTAAGGGTAGCATTAGCATTGTAAGTGAACATTAGCTTTTCTTTTTTTTTTTTTTTTTTTTTACAGTAAGATGTTTTTATTTAATAGAATTTTTGGACAAAAAAATCGCAATATATCGCAATATATTGCCTTGCTTACAGTATCGCAATATATTGGGATATATCGTATCGTGACCCCTCTGTTATGATATGTATCATATCGCCAAATTCTTGCCAATACACAGGCCTAGTTCTGACCCACACTTTTAGAACCACCTCTAAGTGGGTCAAAGCGAGCACAGCATGCTTAGTTTGATGTCAGTCAGAGGCGATTGCTCTGAGACTGCAAAGGAAGCTCAGCTTCCCCTAAAATGTAAAAAAAAGTGCTCAAATATACACTGTTGTGTGTTCATGTCATTAACTAAATTTGTGCTATAACGCACTCAACTTTTGTCAGAATCAGCTTCTTATTGCTGGTAACGACGCAGCTTTCCTCTCACTCATTCCCTCAGCTTCACAGAGCTTTAAACAGTCGGACGCTGAGCGTCCACAGAGCTCATTAGCGATGCAAAGACTGCAGTGAAACGAGACGAGTCATTGGATAAATGCTGGCTTTGTCCCGCCCATCAGACGCTCAGCGTCTCTGGGGGTCTATGGGCAGTGAGCTGACCTCGGCTGGCCCAGACGCTCAGCTTCTGCATGATGATTGGATGATCTGTCTGAGCCTGAATCCCTTTTAGATTGACAGCAAAATGAGCGAATCAGTGATCTTTTGGTGTAAACATTCAGTGGGAGAATTTTTTAGTTTCATTCTGTTCTGAGTTGAACCGCAGACTTTATTAATCCTTTTAGCAGCATTTTCTTTGTTAAAAACGACTAGCAACAAATCGAGTTTCTATTTCTGGTGGGTTTTTTGTAGCTGCTCATGTCCGGAGACGCGCTTCTATCACTCATACTGACTTCTGTCACTCTTTCTGACATCTATCACTCCTTTTTGACTTCTATCACTCCTTTTTGACTTCTATCACTCCTTTTTGACGTCTACAGAGGTGTCAACCTGGAGTCATCCCAAATCATAATGATTGTCTCGGAGCATTTGCGTCGCATGGAGTGCGTTCGTTTTTGGCAGTTTGTGCGCATAATAAAAAATATATGGAATTTATATCTTTAAACTTCAAAGTATTCATACAAACCTACTTATTTCTAGATGAGAGATTATAAATAACAAGTGCTAAAACAGAGTTTATAAAATGGGTGCTTTATGAACATAACTTTGCTGAACAGTACATTCATCTATCCTATTATTGGGCCTCCTTTATTCATTCACCCTTCTATAATCAGACTCAACAGCTGAAGATGAATTTGTAGTCACAGGGAATTCTTGTCACAATATTTAAACTGAATAAGGAGGAAACTATATTTGTCTTTTAAAAATAATAACAGATGATTAGTCTTTTCCATTACTGAGTCCGGCTCCTCGCGGCTCAGTTCGGGCTGGTTCAGAGCGGTAACGTCTTTTAAAAGTAGCTGCTGTATACAGTATACTGTCTGACTTTTATTTTGTGAAATAACGATACTATTGGCATTGCTGTTTGTTTTTCATTGAGTTAAATCCATAAAGAAAAAAATCAACATATTTACTCACACTCCTAGGCATAAAGTGTGCAGTAAGTGTAATTTCATTTATTAGAAAATCATTTTGGTTTTGTTTTACTGCATTTATAAGCAATGGTTTGCTGTAGCAGGGTATTTAGTCTGTAAATAATAATCATACCCTGAGAAACGGTCCAGGAGCTCAGCTGGTCACTTGTCGAAGGTGACTCTGGACAGAAAACTAATGATTAGCCTCGAATACGGTCATAATTAATTACTAATTACAATAAATGAAGAGCTGGGGCTGTTGTTTTTAGCCTCGATCGCTAAACAAACCACGGAGATCCTCATCGGAAACGAACACGCACAGGACACATTGGAACAAACTTTATAAATAAAAGGTACAGTTTCACAAGCGAGACGTGTCCCATAAATTATGTTCAATATCTCACTAAATGCACGAAGCACTCACCGTCTGCAGATGAAGTTTGTGACGAGACCAGTCTACAGTTAGCAGCAGCTAACTAACTAACTAACTAACCGGTGGCTGTAAAGAGCGATCCCCTTCATTTACCCACAGCAGCTCTAGTCCCACAGCTTTGAGCCACTCCTGCTGTTGTTGTGGTCCTTCACTGCTCTGAAAACAGGCTCAATATCTTTTTAGCTTCTCCCAGTGCTCTGCCATCATTTGGAACATCCAGGCAGCTTCACTGGCCAATCGTGACTGCTACATGCTTCGGCACCTCCACTCCCCAAACGGTGCTGGCCTCTGTACTACCTCGAGAGGAGGTCCGAAAAAGTGGGCAGAGTGCAGCCGGGAGTCACAGCGGAAACACCGAAAACAGGTGCGAAGTGGGGTGGAGCCAAACCGAACCGCGTAGGTGGAAAAATGCAGCGGGAGGGGTTCCCAGCAGCTCAGCTGAATGAATGAAGCTTGGCACAAGGCCAGATCGTAACAAATGTCTAGTACGCCGTAATGGTTCAGAGCGGGTCTCAATTTCGTAATGATTACGGTCAGATCGTAATGGTTGGCATCTCTGCTTCTATCACTCTTTCTGACATCTATCACTCTGACATCTATCACTCTTTCTGACTTCTATCACTCTTTTTGACTTTTATCGCACTTTTTGACTTCTACCACTCTGACTTCTGTCACTTTCTGACTTCCATCACTGACTTCTATCACTCCTATCACTCCTATCACTCCTTCTGACTTCTATCACTCTATTTTAACTTCTTTCACTCCTATCACTCCTTCCGACGTCTGTCACTCTCTCCAACGTCTGACTTCAATCACTCTTTCCGACTTCCGTCGCTCTCTCTGACGTCCGTCGCTCTCTCAGACGTCTGACTTCAATCACTCTTTCCGACGTCCGTCGCTCTCTCCGACGTCCGTCGCTCTCTCCGACGTCCGTCGCTCTCTCCGACGTCTGACTTCCATCACTCTTTCTGACTTCCATCACTCTTTCTGACTTCCATCACTCTCTCTGACTTCTATCACTCTCTCTGACTTCTATCACTCTCTCTGACTTCTATCACTCTCTCTGACTTCTATCATAGTTTCTGTCCATCGGCTGCTGCTGAGTCCCTCCACTGTCACAAAGTACTCACAGATGGACACACTTCATGTAGAATTCACGTCTAAATAAACCAACACATTTTATGATGTAGGCTGAAATTAAGCTTCCACTCCTTGAAAGACCAGCATCTGCCACTGATGTCAGCAGATTGCTGCCCGTGGATTAGCACTTGGATTGATTGACAGAGGGAAGGTGTTACTTGTGCAAACTTCTTCCAGGAAAGAGATGCTTTTGTTTTGAAATAAGAGCATGCTGCGTGATAAAAAAACATGGTGAAAACAGTGATAAAACTGTCTAACCTTTTTGCCGATCTTGGGAAAGGCAGAACTTGCAAACACTTCCTGGATGATTACATAAGCACTTCTACATGGCACCGCATCAATAAATAAATAATCAACTCCGATTACAGGATGATAAAACCACAACTCTTTTCCCCTCCTTTTGTTGTTTTTTTTCCCTACAACAGCTGAAGCCACTGCTGATGATCCACCCACAGAGTGAGGGACACACTGAGATGGAGACACACACACACAACAGAGAAGAACCAGTGTGAGGCTTGATCATGGAGAGGATGGCAGCAACAGCCACCTGACCATAGAAAAGCCCTGATGGGTTAGAACATCAGTTCTCCACATTAGATCATCTTAGTTTAAAAGTCTGGCGTGAAAGATGGTAAACATTCAGATTAGTTTTGTTTTTATTGTAGGACATTGTGGGCCAGACTGATGTCATCCACAGGCCAGTTCTGACCTTTGGGCCATATGTTGACCTTAGGTGGTTTGAAAGTTCTGAACGAAAAACAAAGATACTGATGGATAAAACTTGATGTGGTTAACATTAAAAGGGAAAATCAGGGTCATTATGTTTATCATTTATTTATATTAAAAAAAATGCTCTGTTTGTTTGTGCAACTGTCCAAAATGTTGAGTCTTTTAGAAAATAATAAAGGAAAAAAGTCTGCAAATACTTATGTCTGTCTGAACTGTTTTTCCTCCCATTTATCCAGCTCTGGAAACAGTTTAAAATAAATTCCTGACATTTGCAGAGTTTGCAGGAACCCTGAGCAGAACAAGTCTGAAGACTGGTCAGAGTTATTCTACAGCACAGCACGTCTGATTGACAAAGTGACAGGAGTTCACACAGAGCAAACAATGACAGCGTTTTACTGACGTGGGCTGCAGCCGGGAGCAGGCAGTACTGATGACAGGGACCATGGCCGACAGGATCTGTTCCTCTGTCAGAGGACTACCAGGACCAGATGGACCTTCATCTACAAAACACCAAGTACATGATCTTTTACCAAACAATTCATCACAGTTAGTTGTGGCATTTAGTCAATAACAATATGATTAATAAAGGACAACTGTACTTCAGTGTGTTGATTCTAGATCAGTCACTGTGTTCTAACATTACATCATCAGTCCAACTAAGCTCTTATTTTACCAGGTAAATTAATCAAACCAGGCCTACATGCATGCTTGTTAGTGAGTGCATTTATTACAACCTGCTATTTAAATAGAATTTGTAGTTTTTGGGTGGACTGTATTGAAATATAGCTACAACTTGAAGATGTAAAATGCTTTTTTAAAGCAAAAAAAAAATAATAATAAACTAGCCCCCTGCATATTATTCTGCTCACTCTGAAGTGCAGCCTGCAGTGCCAGAGACAGCAGGCGTGGGATGATGACATCATGAAAACATTGTCCCGCCTCCTCAGTGTCCTGAACCTGCTCTGCGATCCTCTGCAGGCTGCGGCACGCTAGCACCACCTCATCCACGGAGAAACGAGAGCTACCTGAAAACAAGATGTTACTGGGTCAGTGTGCAGGAGGGTCAGCTGGCAGTAAAATGATCTACATTCTCCTCCTGCTCGCCTATCAGAGCGTTAGATCAACAAACACATCAGATCCTTGTCCACACAGGGGACAGTTTGTCCAAATCCATCTCTTAATTTGTCCGTTCTAAACAGTATCCTTGTAAACACAGCACAGCAACTAGGACTGCTTCCATCCACACAGAAACACTAACAACTAGAAGCACTCAGAGAGTGCAAACCTCCACCAAGACCAATTTCCTCCTCCTTTCCTCCATCCTGTGAGAGTTAATGCACAAAAGCAGAGATGTACGTACATCTCTGCTTTTGTGCATTAACGTACGTACCTACCTCCTACCTACCTACATACAGTTGGTACATACATACATACATACATACAGTTGGTACATAGGTACATACATACATACAGTTAGTACATACGTACATACATACATACAGTTGGTACATACGTACATACATACATACAGTTGGTACATACATACATACATACATACATACATACATACATAAAGTTGGTACATACGTACATAAATACATAAAGTTGGTACATACGTACATACATACATACAGTTGGTACATACGTACATACATACATACAGTTGGTACATACATACATACATACATACATACATACATACATAAAGTTGGTACATACGTACATAAATACATAAAGTTGGTACATACGTACATACATACATACAGTTGGTACATACATACATACATACATACATACATACATACATAAAGTTGGTACATACGTACATAAATACATAAAGTTGGTACATACGTACATACATACATACAGTTGGTACATACGTACATACATACA